AAGGACAATGTGTACCACACTCGAACCAAACACATTGATATTTGTTTTCACTTCGTCCGAAAAGTAATAGAGCAAGACCTCATCCAAATAATATTCTGCCCAACAGACAATATGCCTGCCGACACGCTGACTAAACCACTGGGCTTGTCCAAAACTCGAATTCTTCAATAATTTGATGGGACTGTGCTTGGTTTGAGGGGGTGTGTTGGTATATTACACTCACTCTATAGATATAATTCTCTCTTTCCTATTCTACCTTCCTTTTCTTCATGAATTGACCGCTTTTCTTTGACATTACATAAGCTAATCTTTTCCACGCTTACTCCAAAACTCGTAGCATTCTACCTTATACAAACCTCAGTCTCTTGATAATAAGACTGAGGTATGTCTGTCTACTCTACAGTTCTCATTATATCATTATACTCATATTAAACCATCAGAACATCTCTTTTATAGCCTTCTCATAGCCTCACAAATAGCACTTTTATTCTCTCTCCTGAAGTGCAGCAAAACAATGCAACATAAAGTTGCCCATGTGAAAACACGTAAATCCAGCCCAACCTGTGTCATTGGTTGACCTTGAGACTTGTTGATGGTCATGGCAAAGGTAACACGGACAGGGAATTGATGATGTGATAGCTTGATGGGCAATTCTTCTGATGAAGGTTCTAATGTGAGGCGTGGAATAAAAGCCATCTTTCCTGCATGTTTTCCTCCCAAGACATGGCACTTCAATACTCTTCTCTTCATCTCTATCAAAATCATGCGTTGTCATGCACCAAAGTTGATTGGTAGCATGGACAGGTGTCAATAACGAAGTGAATATTCAAAAAGACTCGCCTTTGCGCCACACAGGCACAGTGCTACGTGGAATAGTAATTAATATTGCCCTTTTCGAACTTGTGGCTGATCAGCACCACCTCTATTAGGCAATCCAGTCACACTCACCTTTGCTTTTCCATCCGGTACTTTCCGCATTTCGGCATTTCGGCAAATTTTTGCGTCACCACTGGCTACACATTGCATTGCGCCCTCGCTTTTTGTCGTTTCCCTTACTCCCCTTCCTTTGCCTAGCCCCACCATGGGCCCCTTCCTCTCCTTTTTATTCTCACCTGATGGTCGTTTCTGGATCCCCATTCTAATCCACTTTTCCATCACCTCCACCCTCCTCCTCCTCATCTTATTTGCACCCCCACCATTTCTGATGTCACCACTTCCTATCCGCTTCCGTCGCCGATCCGTTGACTACCACGTGCCACTGCTGATATCAGCAAAGCCCCGGCGGCCGGTCCAAATAGGGCAACAGGTCCATCTTCATGATGTCGATCTGCCATCATATACTATCAAAACATCGGTCGCTCGTCTTGCCTGGTTGGAGCGTGGGTGGGTAGTTTTTGAGCTGGAGAAGGTTCATCCCCTTGCGTTGCCCATGTTCATTGCTGTCCCATTCACTTGGGTACACTTATCATTTGTCCATCGTCTTCGCTACAGCTACACCTACCACACGCTGCCTGGGACTCACTTGTTCCAAATTGGAACTACTCCTCTCCCTCCCTCGTTTGATCAGGTGGTCCAACACAACCAGTCTATTGGTAAGGCCATGGAACTGTCAGATTTGGACTAGGTGGTGGACCGGTGGCTCCAGTTTCTTTTTCTTCAGCAGAACATTCATTTACAGTGCGATTATTTTTGATTTTTGAATCATTTTTATGGACACATATTTTTTTAGAATGCCTGACTGACAATAAAGGAACTGTGTTGATACTGATAGTGTTTTGCCTTGCCCTTTTTTTTACTGCATCTTCCCATGACATCATGATTTTCCTGCTCTCCTTTTGCTATTGGACTTTACTTTATGGCTGTACAAACCTGTGACATTACTCACAGCATTTATTGTTCTATCCCTTTCTTTTCCTTTTTTTGACAATCTTATCCTGTACTACCTACGCAGGATTCGTCAGCGTACATTCCTTCCTTCATATTCTTTCTCATTCTTTTTGCACAGCTATACTGTGCATAGCCTACTTTTCTTTTACTATATAAACCCCTGTATTTTACCTTGTAAAAAAAAACAACAACAAGAACTCGAATTCAGACTTCTTCTCTACTCTCAAGTTCACTACTCTGCTACTTGTGATCCAGTGTGGTCACAACACTTCCCACTTCTACCACTGTTAACTGCTGTCATCGTCACTCGTCACTTTTGAAAGTGATTGTCATCCCCTTCGATTAGAGTCCTTCTGAGCACTACAGTTTGTGCGTCAGGAGCCTGCTATCACTGGGAACCTCATCACCTCGTCATCCTTGTTGTTCTCAAACCTACCTTGTGCTACGATTAGCAAGGTAGTGCTCATCTATACTCGTCACAAAGCCCCTATCCTTCTATAAACTCAACTATCCCTCCTCCTCAAAACCCACACTCATACACCTCTGGGTTTTACTTTGAAGGATCTTTATACGTACCACCCCACGAACAACCAGACCACTCCACTGTTCTAGGAGGCAAAGCCCATAAACAAGTTCCGTGGAATCTGGGAGGATTGTGTGTTAGTTTGTTTTGTGTGTGGTTTTCTAACAACAGTTCTCATCATCGACACCGGTTGATTGTGGATCATCCTGAGTGAATAGCGATGGCACTTCTGTTTGCAAGGAGGTCCCTCAGCTGCCAAAGAGGCGGATACCTTCCTCTTCATGGTGAGCGACTGGTGTAGGTTGCGGCATGAGTCTGAGTGCAAATGGGTGGCGCGACGGCATAGCGGCACAGATGGCTGTGGAGAAAGCTATCAGGCTAAAGCTCCCGGAAAAGCGCTGGCAAGAGTTCCCAAACGGACTCTACGGTAGGCTTTCTAAGAGTCCTGGGTTTGTGAGAAAGTATTCTATATTTCTACACCTGCACAGACAAATAGTCGTGCTAAGATGTGATCTGTGATTTACTATGGACAAGGTATATTTAATCTTGTAAGGGTAAGTGAGATTTTGAGTGCGTCGATACGAATAGTGAACAGTGGTTAGGTAGTTATTAAGAGTAGTACTAGCGTCGTACTTTGCAGACAGTAAATACTCACTAAACCAAAGTACTGTGTCAATGCGTGTAACAAGGCGCATTGAGGATAGGCATCCACCAACCGACGCCACAAATGTAAAAGAGATCCGAAAACAAGGATTTGGATGTCAGCAATGGAGGATCATTATGCGTATGAGAGACCATTTTGAGCGACAGCACTTCTGGAAGGTGCTCATGTCGGTGTGGACCATAATTTTCGGGTTTAGCAGTCCGAGCCTACATTGGACAAAGATCATTTGATCACAGCGTCTCCTGAACTCGAAGGTGTTGCCCTCCTTCACCCATTGCAGGTGAAGCTACCATTTTCCGTTAAGGGTGTAATATACAGTTCTGGTCGTATATCAATGCCATGAGTCATGATACAAAACGAGGGTTTGAAGATCTAGAATAAACTAACCGTTCGAAGTGAGTAAATTGTATATCAATGTAATTGGGTGAGGGACCATCTTGCTTTAGACGATATAATAGATCAGGCTGATGGCAAGCGACAACCCGCCAAAAGACCACAAATATAAATGATTGAATGGCTTTGACCTCCATGTTGCAGGTACACGGGCAAGCATGACAAAGATGAGGGTACCAAGATCGCATGCGAACCTTGGGCTCTCCAGCTCGCGGCAAATTCAATGTGAAATTTAAGAAGAGCATTAGAATTCCGATTTTGTCAAATATCACAGGTCTTAGTGGGTGATGAAGGCCCTGTATCGAGGAATTATGTGATAGGCTTTCAGTACTGAACACATGATCGAAGAGCATATGTCATAAAGTCAGCTCCGACTATATGTATGGTTCTACGGAGAGAGCGGTTGCGGATAACTGAATGCGAATATGAGTCTCGTCCAATGGAGACCTGCGAGTCCGTAGGTCGTCGAGTCAACAAGGTCAGCGCGCCGACCATCGAGAGCTTGTAATATAATCCAGTCCAGATGCATATTGTCCTTCCGTCACCCCAATCTCTTGAAAGCAGACGCGTAGTAGATTCCTAAGTCTTAATGCAGTGGTCCATTGATTAGGATTACTGGTGACGTTATAAAGTGCGATGTCCAAGAGCACGCAGAGGTTCTACTATAGCTACGTGCCATGAAAAAAAGCTAGATCGAAGTTGATCTTGGTTCGCCCCGAAATGCAATTTATGAGAGTATACACATTTTGTCTTTCTCGAGTAGAAATTAGCCGTATGGATTGTCCCAGTGGTTGAAACAAATGCAGGACAGCACGGACGTACGAAAAACAAAGCTTGTGTCTCGCGGTTAGATGTCTAGATCCCTGGATTGCCATTGGGGTGGTGGACAACATTTGGCTATGTCAGGTAGCACTTTGAAGGTTCTAGTTTGGTGGATGCTGGACTTGGACTGGGAATTGAGCCGACGAGATTGCGACCACTTCAGAAATGTTTGACGTCGGCGTGGAGGGGAGGACGATGTTCATATGCACTGACATAGAACTACTAGGTGTCCGGTGAGTGCCTTTGGGACAGGAGCGCTTTGGAAGAAGTGAAAGCGGTACAATAGGGTACAGTACGGCCGGTGCGATAGCGAATCAGCGCTCAAACACGTGGCACAGTTGTACATCGGAATTTGCCGTGCGACTGCTGGAGAGCGTTGGCGAAAGGTGTCGAAGTGAACGCGGAGGAAAGCTTTATAACCTGGAGAACCGGCGGTGCAATATTCAGATGATGCAGTCCAGATAATTGCAAGGTTTGCGATGCAGTGCTTGGCACGATGAAGTCATAAGCAAGCTATGCTAGAATAAAGTGGCTACATGGACCGGGTACTCAAAGAGCGATCGCCCGAAGAATGCCGGGCACCGAGTGCTGCACCGCAACTGCACCGAGCGGTGTTTGACAAAAAAAGAACAGAGTCGCACACGGATGACTGCAGAAAAGGCGATTTACGTATGGATCTATATAAACAAACGAGCGAGAAAACGTCCTTTTGAGCTGAAGAAGAAGCATAGACTTGTCCAATCTGCACTAGTCCATTGGCCTGTCGTTCTCTCTGGGCCATCTCAGCTGATCAGACTCTTTTGGCGGGTAACTGTCACCTTGGGACCAGTGCGGCAAACCTATCGCTTTTCCAAGTCGATGTATGCTTTGGAATTCCCGTTCTCGGTATTTCAACTATACATCTCGAGGCCCTTTGACTTGCATTAGTAGGTCCCTATCATATCTCTCGACGCCACATCTCGCATCTCCTGTCGATATTCGTGGAATTCCTTGAATCGCTACCGGTAATTGCACCTCCCGCAAAATACGAACGACGTCGACCACTTGCCATCCTTCTACTGCGATCCAATCGCCCCATCGAGTTTTGCGGCGCATATATTGCGGGGTTGAGCAAACAGCAGTCGTATTTCCAGAGTTGAAAAAAGAGACGGGAAATCACGCGGTTCGTGTGCCACCTGCCTCGCGTTGTTTTCCTATAGCCAGTCACGGTCTACCAGCCCTGTACAGAGCTACAGCCCGTACGCTCAGCTCACTACTAACCTCTGCCCACCAGCAGCCAAGACTGCAGCTGGTTTCATTCCAAATCATAGCTCGTTGTGATATCTGCTGTTGATAACCGTACATCACCACCGCAATGTCGAATCCCCGGTCTCCCGATGATCTCCTCATGCAGTCCCAACGTGGTGGTAAGTCGCGAAACCAGCAAATGCCATACATCACTGTCAATATCCTAAAATCTTTGTTATTAGAACTGTTGTCCTCGTCACAGTCGGCTTCTACGTCGAACGTCACCGCTCGTCAATCGTCGTCTTCGCTTGATCCACCTCCGCAACATCGTATATCTCCGCCCTCAAACATCACTGATAACAGACACGATCTCTCCCTCCCTCACTCCCATCCCCCATCTGCACCGACCTGGGCCTATCAGTCCCACTCGCAATTGACCTCGTCAGACTCTGCTCCCGACGTTGCCCAATCCGCAATGATAGGCGCTACTTCTTCGTTTTACGACCCTCAACAGGCCCTCTCAATCGAGACACCCAACTATCATCAATGGCTCGATACGTATGCTGGCACCAGCCCCGCGCACATAGGTTATCTTCAATCAGAACATGCAGTACCATCGCAGACTCATTCTCAGTCACATTCTCAGCTCGTTTCCGTACAGCAGCACCAACAGCAACAGCAGTATACCAACGTTCCCTCAGGTCGGGCCACTCATCTCCCTGTGCCTGCCAGTGCGAGTGACTTGCATTTTCATCCCCAATTTGTGCAGGGCCAAACTGGTAGCGGGCAGCAGTTTGTCCAACCACAGCAGGGTGCCCACCACGTATACCCGCAGGTACAGCAGCAGCAGCAGCAAGGCCATCAGGCCTCTCGTATGCCTCAATCCAGCCACGCCGCACAATCAGCTCATATCGCTCAGTCGAGGGCTGCACGGCCTCAAACAATAGCATATCACAACATGCCTGCGAGTGGTGTGCAAGTAACCGGACCAGTTGTTTCAGTGTCCTCGTCAATGCAGGGCGCATATTATCAGCAGCAAATGCCTCACCAGCAACGACAGGTCTCCCAGTCACAGACCGAACAACAAGTTCCTATTTCTCTTCAACAGCAACAGCAGCAAACACGTCAACCCCACGTGTCCCAGCAGCACGATCCGTACTACTATCAACATGACATGTTCTTTGCTTCTCAGCAGCAACAACAGCATCCTCAATCTTTATCCCAGCCTCAGTCGCAATCACACTCGCCGGCCTCTTTGACCGATGCAGTTGTTTATACTCCTTCCTCTGAGTTGCTGAACCTTCCGCGCCCCCGCAGCTCTGTTTCACCCGCTAGCTATAATTCCAGTTCCATAGAAGAAGGGCACGATTATTCTGCTCAGGTTGCGAAAGGCCAAGGAAAGGCTCAAGAATTTGCTAATCAGTCAGCCCTGTCCCCATCAAGCACTTCTAATCTGCTAGTGCACCAGAGCCCAGCAGGCCGCACTCCTTCGCAGCAACCTCAGCCATTTCAGTTTCAGTTTCAACCTCCGGCCCACCCACAACCACAAGTGCAACCCGTCTATAAACGAGGTCGTGTGGCCTCCAAGGTCTCTTCAGGTCGTGTACCCAAGCGGCCCCGCCCTTCAGGTGGTCCTCGGAGAGCTGCCACTGCAGGTGGAAGCGGCGGTAGGCTGGCAGGTACGGGAGGAGCCGATAGTTATAGTGAGAGCGAAGACGATGATAACGAAGGGTATCAGATTATTGTGGAACCCCCTACGGCTAGGAAGTGAGTGGAGCTTTCAAGTCTACCTATTTATTTTATGCCATTATCCGCAGTCACCTTATTCTGCCATTAAGGCTAGCGCATTTATTTTCTTTGCCGCGCTGGCAGCCCACAGCGCAGTCCATGCCTTTCATTGACGCCTTGGCTCATTCGCACAAACATCGGTCCTTCTGATGAAAATGTGTGGCATTTTGGCCCTGTTCCTTTTTTCTCGGACCATAGACGATTGGTGTCTTGTGGTTTGGCCATGATTGGGGAAGTACCAGTACTTCCCCGTAATTTTTTCTGTGAATCAACGTGTCCTGAACCGGTTACTGACAATCCCTTCATTTACATCTGCTCCATTTCCTACCATTCCGTTATTGGCCGTGCTTAAAAAACGTGTCGACTATGAAAACACGATTTTCCTGCGATTGGGCATCTTGGCTCTCCAAACCCTTGGTTTCTCACCCAAAAACGTGCCATTTTGCACTGGATTGAATGGCTCAAATTTTCCCCTTCCTCCAAAACGTGGTATCTTCGATATCCGCCTGTCAACCCAATGTCAACCCATGGTTTTTTGCAAATCGCGCAACATTCGCTGATATATCAACATTGGATCCGGCGAAAATTTCCATTTCACTAACGCCCATGCATTGTCAAAAAACACGCTACTTTGGGCCATAATGTGACATTTGTACAACCTCCACTGGCAATTCATCACCATTGGATCCTACCAATTGGAATTGCGCTATCTTCGCCATAAATATAACGCCTTCGGAAAATTTTCTGACTGACACTGCCTATATGCACTGCCTCGGGGATTTTGACCTTCCGATATGTCACCACCGACATGTATCGGCCTTTCCTCAACGTCTATGGACTGCATCCGACCATACGCTATTCTCTTTATGACACCGACACCTTCATCAACTAACGCCCGATCCGGTCACGTCTCTATCCCGACCCCCGACCTCCACCTCCATCATGTCACCTCCGTCCAATCATGACAACCGCACCCGGCTTCGTCTGGATTCCGGTCTTGTTTGCCCTTTACCCTTGTAAACCTATTGCACATCCGCTTCCCTCCTATGTTTTCATATGTCCTCTATAAATTTTCGGCGTACTTTAGACCGGGAGCGTGTAAGAACTGCAAGAGATTAAAGGTACGTAAAGCATAGCATTGTGTATACATATTGGCTTACTGGTTCTCGTTTTCATTGTACCTCCGGCCTGCCTCGCCCCTGTCGATAACTGTAACTGTCCTCCTCTTGGTCGTTTTTCTTGGCCTGCTCTTCCTGCCGATCCATTCGATTCGGATTACCGATGTGGCTACTCTGCTTTTCCGATCCGTTTTTCATTATGCCTCCCGGCATTCATCCTACACCGGTTTGCCTCGTTATTACCTCGTCTCCAACCTTTCCTCCGTACTCTGCGCCTGTTCGGTTATCGCTTTTTTCCAAACGCCTTCGGATCGCATTATCAGATGAGGTGTGTATTCAGGGGAAGTGATAACACTTGTGACCGATGCAAGGCGGGTAATCATGAGTGCATCGTAGAGGGCCGCAAGCCGCGTACGGCGCCAAAGTGAGTGCTATTCACGGCCTTCGTGTCATCATCTTCTTTTTGCATTCTACCTGGGTTGTTTCTATCACGGCTTGTGTTCCCTTGTTGCGGCTCGCGTTAACCTGTGCGGGCTCGTGTCCTTTAGCATTACTCTCCTCCTTTCTGTCATTTCTTTTTCGGATTCGCGTGCGAAGCTCGAGTCCGGTGCTACGTTTCGGAGCCCTAGCGTCGAGGCTCGACTCGTGATTTTGGCCTGTTCTTTGTTCGGGTGCGGGGAGTATAACTTCCGGGCGTAAAGTCTCGTATTTCTATTTTCCCATTCAGCCCCCGTTTCCCATCTCAGTGCTGGACATATTAGGGGTCATTAGTGTTCCTATTTCTTGTTCTTTTTGCGTTCATTGTCGGACCACCCGAAGCATTGCACCACTCTCGTCGCGCTTGCCATTATGCTGCATGCTTATCCCTCACCCTCACCCTCCCCTTTGTCGACGTGTTCCGAGCTACCATTGGAAGCGCCATGCTCACATTTTGACACTCTTCCCGAATCTAGTAAACGCGAGTACCTTCTAGCTCAAATAAAGCAGAAGGATTCTGTCATCGAGTCACTTCTCAAGCAGGTATGATCTTCGCCATCACGTCATGGCCTTCTGATACTGACCCGTTTCTTCGCTCTCCATCTAGCTACACAACCCGTATATTGCAACCCCACTCTCCATCGCATCTTACCGTATGGCCACATCTCCCTCGGATAAGAACAATGAAAGCATCATCGCTTGGTTAGATAGACTCCAGTCCAGCATTGCTGCTTCCGGTTCTACTGGAGGGCCCACTGCATTCAAACTCGATGCACGTGCGCGTCGCGGCGAAGATGAATCGGATGAGGAATCGACGTCGCTGATAGGTGGTGGTGCTGTTGGTGCAGATGATGGAGGATATGGAGGCGGTGACGATAGTTCAAGTCAGCAGGACACGGAGAAGATGCAGTCTGCATTGCCAGATGCCGCAGTGCCAATCGGGCTTCTAGCAAATTTATCGCTGGGTACCAACAAGGCAAAAAGTGGCGCTGGCGCTGTCTCGAATGCTTCTGCTGTAGCTGCAGCCATGGAAAGCCTAGAAGACGATAACAACAACGTGGTAAGTGTGGACTAGACCTAACTTGAAGACATTTGATATCAAATCACGTGACTTGGTGTAGGGTGTCGCGAACAAGGAGTACTTCTTACCTGGTACGTGTATCGCATTGAGGTTGGGGATTAAATGATGTATTTTGTTACCTGCAGGTCCTGCTACAGACCTAAATATTCGAAAGTCTTTGATCGAGCAGCACAGTCCGCCAGATATTCTCGTACACAATTTGGTAACCGGGAGTGACGTTGACAAGTTGTTTGAGATGTGAGTATATTTTTCGGCGAAATACTTCTATCCTTATATTCAATACTTTGACCTCGTCTTAGATTTTATAAGCATGTTAATGTAAGTTTATCCTCGCCATCTCCAGCGTGCTCCTAACTTCTCATTTTGAACAGCCGTTCATTTCTCTTCTTGACCCTGTTTTGCACACTCCCGAATCTACATTCGCAAGGTGCCCTTTCCTCTTCACCGTTAGTGCGTACTGGTCTACCCATTTTCTTTCATTGCAGCAACTAATGTTTGCTCTCGTTCAAGTCTGCGCCGTTTCGTCACGTTATTATACCGAAAAATCGGAGATATACCCCATTGCCATGCACTTCGCCAAGCACTCTGCCGCAAATGCGCTAATCGAAGGGTGGAAGTCCGTCGAGCTTTGCCAAGCGTACATCCTAATGAGCATATACTCTGTTCCTGCAAGGCGATGGGAGGAGGATCGCAGTTGGCTGTACACGGGTCTGGCTGTCCGGTGTGTCCTCATACCCCGTTTTTCTAATACTCGACATTAATCGTATCCATCGACGACAACAGGATTGCAACCGATTTGAATCTACATCAAGTATCAACAGTGCAACCACAATGTGAACGGGAAGAAAGGGAGATATTGAATAGAACACGTGTGTGGATGATCTGCTTCAACCTTGACAGGTCGACTGCGACGCAGTTCGGAAAGCCGTCAAGCGTGAAGGAAGATTATATTTTGAGAAACTCAAAGGAATGGTACAAGAAGTCACAGTACAACATAAAGGTGTGCATATTTGTTTTCAATAGAGTTTTGTTCATAACTTTTGCGTGACAGGATGACCTTCATTTGTGTGCTTACTCTTCATTGTTGCGAATTGTTGGGCGTTTCCATGATGATATATTTTCGGATCTCAACACACCTTCTGGTCTGAATAAGGCATGTTGCGTTCCTGTCATTACCTCGTACTTTAACTAATCATCAATTTTAATATAGCAAATCGATTTTCGCTCAGTTACTTTGACGCATGATGCACACCTCTCAAGGTACTTTGAGGAGTGGTCCAAGAAATTTGCAGAAGAGTCCGACCGAAATGGTGAGTTATACTGCTCGAATGCCATGGGTGCTCATATAACCGTACTTTACAGACCGTGGTGCTAATTTCCGCTGCACGTTGCTGCCGTTGTAAGTTTCTTGCTTGCTTCCGTTTATGCGTGTGTTCGATCCTTGTTATACAGCTTGGTAGACTATTCGAGACTCGTTATGTTTTCCTTTGGATTCCAGCATGCTTTTACGCGCGGCATTGAGGCCAGCGACCACGTCTTCTTCAGCAAGGTAAGCGCAAGGATTCTCAAATGGAGGCTAGATGACTTACATTTGGTCTACGTAGTGTTTCGATGCTGCAAAATCGGTAATTAAACATATGATCGACGTCTTGGCACCTAGTGGGTACATGCGCTATGCTCCAGATGGTATACCTTGTTTGTAGATTTTGCGTCTACTGAAGCTTACTCGATCATTGTCATAGGCCACTTCGTGTTTGTATCATTTGCTTCTGCCTTCCTTTTGAAGGTATGTTACTCTATTCTTTATGATGGTCCGGCCACTCACAACTCCATACTAGATGCTTCGCCCAGAGATACGACAGTTATTGCTATCACAGGAGCTCGAAACCGAGATTTTTGATCTCATCGCTCGTTTGATACACACCCTTAGCTCGTCTGAGGTTGCCATCGATGATCGCCATACCCCAAAGCTGTATGCTCGCTTCCTTGCTGGACTTTTGGCCAAGCACCGCAAAGACGGTGCAGCTGTTGTTGGACGATTACAACCATTGCCTCCGCAAAGTCAAACCATGCATCGGTCTTCAGCGAGTGACTTCCAAGGCCACGGAACGGCCTCCTCTTCATCAGGCAGTGCATTCAACGCTCCGCAATCATATAGCAGTACAACGCAAGACCACGCGGATGATGGGGACTATTCACAGATGGCGCAAACTTCGAGCAAAGCTCCTACTCCGATATACCGCCCAGAGATTGCGTTCACTCCAGGCCAGGGCCAGATTGATTTTGGGATATCCAGTGACCTGGCTATGATGGACGGGGTTATCAACGGCTTCTCAGACGAGGAGATGCTTGCTACAATGCAAGCAATCAAGAATCCTACGTGGTGGCAGAACATGATGATGCCTGGGTAAGCGCTCATTTACTGAAAATGAAATAAGTCCTTATTTATTGAAAACGCCTAATCGTGTTTAGCTTCTCGTGGCCAGATGCATCAGCGATGAGTCCTGGTATAGACACATATAATCAAAACATTCCCGGCGCACACCAAGGGTTCAGCGGTTTTCAGACTGCCAGCGTCGCGACATGAAGGCGTGTTTGGCTGTTCTTGTATTTGTCTACTTGCATCATGTCTTGTAATTTCTCGTTAAGCATTTCACTCAGCTTCACCTCCCTCTTAGCCTTACTAGCGAAGTGTACTGTATCCCTCCAACTTCTTCTTGCGTCTGATACTATACCTTGTAAAGTTAGTCTTTATCGTTTCGTTGCTGCTAGCCAATAGACCAAAGTCTCTGATGAATTTATGCACGAGTCTCGTGACGAATAGAATATAACTGCACTTTTGTCTGTCAGGATATGATTTCTATTGATAGGATGTTTATTAGGGTAGAAATGCGTTTTGGACGTCACTGGCTGGTAATACAACGCATTATTGTTTCAAACTCAGCGGTCGTGAGTAGATGATGATCTTTGAAGTTCTCTACTATGACCATCTAACGAAAAGGGTCTAAGCGCACGAGTGGAGGACATTTGAAGCTTGAAGCGTTGTTTATACAAGCGATAGTTTCTTCTCGCCTCAGCCTGCTACGCTCCTCCTTTCACTACCCTGCGTCTCCCACAACTGGGTGTCACATTCCACTAGTCACCATTAGTCATACATCCATCTCAATTGCGTTTGCCAATGCCGACGTCCGATTCATTGGGCTCTAACGGGTCTTCATATGGATCGTCCACACATTGTGCTTGTAATGACCCGGGAGATAAGTTTTTACTTTCCGACAACAATGGCACGTGTGAGTGTGGCCAACGGATGCAAGATACTGCCTCGACCATATCAAGCGCATATATGGTTCCTTTGACGAATCGTCCTCCTTCTGTGGCCATTGCACAAGCGGTATTTTCGGCCAGGCACTCTTTGGAAGCGCACTCGCCAGAAATTCTTCTATCCCCTTGTGCTTGCAGCCTGCGACCAGACTCATCGTCTCCTCTCTCTGATCCCAACCCAGTAGAACACTTGGACGTCCCACCCTACAAGGAAAGCAGTTTACAGCGTGGCGATATACTCAACTTGACAACAACTTGCACTTGCTCTGGAGTATTCACTTCGGTAAAACAGGCGCATATCACACTGGACTCTATGTCTTTCGAAGCTATTATTTCTGGCTCCACTGTGAGAGGCCACAGTCTCGTTCCTACCCAAGCTCGAGTGCGGTCGTATCTTCACCGCGACAGATTCGCTGAACACCTGGACAACCTGCTACTCGCTGTTGCTAAAGAGCGAGAGGATGCCGCCGTTCACTCCCAGGAATCTGTTGGGTATCAAAACAGTGAAGACGAAAGCGACCAAAGCAGCGATGAACACGATATATACAGCCAGGATATTGCTCACAACGACTCCCAGGGCTCCATAAAACCGTTTCCAAAGCAAAACCTTATCAAAAGTACAAAATGCGCTGTGTTACAGGACTTTCCTTCTGACCTTTTTGGCGACGAGCCCGACACTCGATCATCAAGCACTGAAAGTGGTAGATCGAGCAATACTGTTGCCGCTGACTGCATTTCAATAGCAAACCTACCCCCAAGGTCGACGCATCCTTCTTTGGTTTTAAGATGCGACTTCGGTGTGCTCGAACAACAGCGTAATATGATGCTTGGTGCTCGCGAAGGGATCCAGCAATATAAAGATACAGGGTTGGCTGGCGAACAAAAACAAAGTAAAAGGCATGCCTCGATACAGAACTTTTCTAGTTGGCCTTCAGACACTACACTTGAAAAAAGACCACCGATAAAACGTTTTGTACCCAGCGTTGGTTCGGCGCTAGGATCTCCAAACCGACGGAGGGATCCAGACACCCTACGAGTTAAGCGTCGAGCAGATGAAATCTCTGACGGACTGTCTATAGACATGAAAACCAGGACATCAACGAAATGGCCCAAGCTAGACATGAATATGCGTATAGCAGGAAGCCAGACAGAATACCTTGCTATAGAACCTGCGAGTTTGCGAAGAGCCGCATCACTCCGTTCCCAAAATTCATTTTATAGTGATGAAGAGGATGCACAAGCTAACAAGGTCGATTCAATCTTCTCAATTTCCATTTTCTCGTGATGAATTGACGTACCTTTTTCAATCCACGGCTTTTTGTTTCGGCCAGCATCCCTCTAAGTCTTTACACACGCCTACGAGCTTTTCGCTAAATCTTAAACCCGGCACGCTACTTTCACCTTGGAAGGAACCCTACTGTGCTCCTACAGTCCCCGTGACACCAGTTCCCGCTACCAACCCACATGCAAATACGTTCGCAAACCCTTTGGTACGTACGCAACCATTTCATAGCCGCCACTGCTCGACTTCACCCTGTCGACGCTTGGCTCCAACTATTCCATCGGTTCCTATCATCGCTCCACCATCATCAAGCTTCATACCATGTGCACCACTCTGTGCTGAGGATGCTGCTGACAACCGAGTACGTCTATTGCTACAACACGAGAGGGAAGAAAGAGAGGCAGATGGACTTAATAGGACTCACTGTAGTTGGGTGAATTGCCACATGGGCGTTGATAGTACTGGTCCAGATAATTCGAGGTCAGGCATAAAAACTGAAAGTGGGGATGGTGCAGGTGATGAAAGCGAGAATGGGGATAACTGGGAAAGCAGAATTTCGTCTGAATTGCGTGGAGATAGCTCCGTAGACTCAGCGTCCGCCACCAGTACTGAACAATCTGCGCTCGAGGAGATATCTTCTGTCCGTGGCAGATGGGCACACCATCTAGGCATCGAGGACAGCTTTAGAAAGATGGTTATGAAGTGGTTCCAGATTGTGAGTTATGGCATTTCATGCTTTTGATGGATTCGTTCGAAGATACTAATGTATTTCATATGCTTTAGGCTGAACCTTGTCCTAGTTCATCCTCATCCTCAATTGAACGACAATACTGTTCAGAATTAGAAGATCAGCTTGCTTCGTCTCCCGAGACGCGGTTCCACGCTGCGTATCTCTTCCTACGGTATTTCTTAAGGGTGGTGGGACAGGGACTAGTTCATGAGAAAGATAGTAGTGTGGTTTTTTTAGATAACAATGCTGCAGTCGAGGAGGCTGTAGGCAAGGCAGAAGAAGATAGGGGGGATAAGGATAGAGGACACGGAATGGGCAATAAAGAACACATGCCTAGCACCCCGGCCACCGCGATTTTTGCAGAGACGAGTCATGCAGAGTTGGATGCATGGCAAGAAGGTAGAGAGACAATTACATGGGATACTGCCGTCGGGTGTATCACGTTAAGCGTAAAAGTAAGGTCCCGTTCATTCAATACGTTGTTTTACTTACTTCATTTTATGGCCGCAGCTTCATCGTGATTTTCTCCCTCCTCTTTATCCGGTGTATGCGTCAGAATTTTTGGCACTGGCTCCTCATGCTATGTCGCACGACGAACTCGAGGTATGCCCTTGCTTGCTCGATATTTCTTTTGAGCGATGCTGATAACTCCATGCACGGCCCCGTAGGTTACACAGCGTGATATTTTGTCCGCCTTCTCTTATTGTTTGGGTCACGATACACCACAACCCTTCCTTGACGAGCTCTGGATCGCACTGCCTACTTTGCGCAAATCTGTAGAGGCCATACAGGGAGGTTGGAATGAAGTAAAAGAGGAGACCTGGACTAAACTATTCCATGCACTGATGGGTACCTTTTCGATCATCTTATCACTGCTTTAGTAGAACAGTTAACTGACCATCATCTGCATAGAACCTGACATACTTCAATTTCCAGTGTCCGTCTTGACGGCTGCAGCGGTAATTGAAGCTTTGATTATCGTCCTTGCTCGCCACCGCAAGGTAGATCTCGATAAGAAGACTAAGCGTATGGAGGGATTGATGATGTGCTACGGTGCTTCGTCGCGGCACAACCAAGAGCAGTGTCAAGAAGCAGTGGAACGGCGTCGAGAAGATTTGACAACACTTGTATCGAAGGCCATGAATAGGGTTGAGAGAGCTGGCGTCATACTCGACGTGAAAGATTTGTTTCAGATACCCGATGTAAGTGCGATAGCGATGCATTCTCGATCGCTCAGCAGCTGACGATTTATTTCGAAATTGGATCTAGGGTGAGCTAGAGAAGTGTAGAAAATGGCTGAATGAGTGTGACGCTGCATAGGACATTCTTTTTTTGGAAACTGAAGGGAAGGACTGTTTTGTTATTGTTATGAGATGAACTGGAATACGAGTGATACCCTTGTATTTTTAATTCCGAGCCAATGTGATTTTTTTTGCTACTTACCTAATTAGTGACTGAAGATCGAGGATGATCATGATGACGTCGTCCTTTGTTCGCAGAATTTCCAAAAACAAACGGAAACTGATATTTTGATGATGACTGCATTGAACGAGGCATACAATCAATCGTCGATGAATGGCACCCAGTCAAGACATATAAGGGGTCTAAGTCGAGAGGCGCAGCGTTCCCTTCCCTTCCCCGGCCCCCATCACTCACTCCATTAGGTCATGGCAGACAAACTTAGAGAAAGACAGGAAGTTTCGTGAGTAAAGAAATCAACTGCCAGAAAGTACACTCACCATTATCAGCTGGAGATGGGGAGGAGGCAATCCATCAGGTCAAGTAGCCGAAATCGTTGAAGAAGGTAAAGCACAGGTCACGAGCAACAAAGTACGTGCTCCCCAGCAAGCGCGTACGGTAAATCATGATATCATTGTTGTAGGGAAACACAGTGACAAGGAACGCCAAGCCCGATGATCCAGCGGTGAAAATTAGTCGTGAAGGTGTAAGTAACTATGCCTTTTTCGTGATATGGCTGTTTAAGCTGCAGACCCCTGTGAAGAACGATGTAGTGAAGCTGGCGCACGAGCTGAACGAGGTCAAGGGAGCAAGATGACGAGTATCATAACGAATTATTATAAGTTAGGTGTGGCGACATTGAGGTTGGTCTCCGTAGACTTTGCCGCCGGTCCTTGTTGAGCGCACAGCGTGGGAAACACCAGTTTTCTATGATGGAATCATGGATGGAAACGCGAGCCTGAGAATCGAATTCACGAAAGCGTTTGACAAGTCTTCTCTGCCTTTTCTTTACTCCCTTTCTCCTGCTTTGTCACGACAAAAACAACAAGACACGCCGTCGATCCCATAGACTGCAACTTTGCTCTCGTTTGCTCCAAATATTGCTTTGAAGTGCCAGATATCGGGAAACATCTGCTCCCGATTTCACCCTGTCTACTTTATACCTTTTGCTTTTACAAAGATATCTCTAAAATCTCTGCCAATCTACGTTAAATGCCACCAGCTCCAAAGAGCGGTTCTGCACTTTTTCTGGGACTCGAGCTTGCCACAGATCAGTTACGTGCTTCAATCGTCGACGAGAGCTTGGAGCTTGTGGGCGTAGAATGCGTTGACTTCGATGCAGAACTGTCGGAATATCAGTACGTTCGATCATTTGGGATGTGCTTTGGAGGGCTTCGATTGCGCAACGTCTTCCTTTCATGCTCGCTTTTACATCCTTATTCAGAGCTGCTAGAATAACTGGTCTTCTATTGCTTTCTTTATAGGACTCAGGGTGGTATATTCACGACTCCTGGCGATGCATACACCACCCCGGTAGAGATGTGGGTCAAGGCTCTCGGTGCGTAGTGATCTCGCGGAATCAAATTTTTTTTCGTGCACTTACATTTTTGGATTTCCCGGATTTTGCCCGATCGTCCGCCACGTGCGCTTAAACTCTTACCGCCATTTTGGGCAGACGTTTTACTGGATAAAATTCACAGAAATTACGACGTTAGCAGAATAAAATCTATTGGCGGTTCTGCACAGGTATGTTATAATACCCTGCCTAGAGTAACAACTACTTCACTGTTTGTTTATTTACCTGAAAACTGCAGCATGCTATCGTGTGGTGGAAATCCACACCCATCCCTTCTTTTCCCGCTTTAGACTCTCGTCTGCCATTCAACTCCCAGATATCATCGAATACTCTGTCCCTCCCTAGCACACCAGTTGCACAAGATACCTCCGCTCATACTCACGCGCTTGCACTAGAGGCTCTGCTTGGTGGCCCAGATCTTATGGCTGCTCGTGTAGGTACTTGTGCGCACGCATCTCTCCTAGCAGCCCAACTTCTCCGAGTTCGTGAGTCATGGCCGTCGGATGTCTGGGCGCGGACAGGCAAGGTACAACTCGCGAGTTCGTTCCTAGGAAGTCTAATTGTAGGGAAGTGGATTAGCATGGGCGAGGCAGAAGCGTGTGCTACAGGGATGTGGGTTCATGGGGGTCCTGGTGGGGGAGGGCATTGGGATGATGGAGTCCTTGAAATCGTTGGAGGTAGTCGAGAAGAAGGCAGGAGGATTAGAGGGTGGCTCGGTGAAATAGACTTCTCAGGAGGACGCAGGATTGGTAATGTGTCGAGATACGTGTCGGAGCGATATGGATTTGACCCAGGTATGATCTTTTTAATTTTTATCAGACTCTATCTCCAACTCCTGATTATCTTTCAGAAACCACTGTGACCCCATTTACGTCGGATTATCTATCCGCTTATCTCTCTCTGTGTCCTTCACCCACTGACACGGTTTTGTCTTTCGGGCCTATGGATGTATTGCTCACCCCGGCTCAACATTATCTACCTACCAGGTTATACAGTCTTTTCCCTCATCCCGCGCAAGACCCAAGCGAGAAAAGAAGGTACATTGCAATGTTAACCAGTAGGTAGGTGGTATAATTTGCTTTAATGAACAGGGATGGGCAACTCGAACTTATGTCATTAGGAATGCGGATGTTCCGAGAGCGCTCGTGAGAGACATGTACACAAAAAGTTGGAGTGCTTTCGACAGGCTTGTCGCCATCGTACCTCCTGGCGGATCCATTGGGTGAGGATTTTCGCCTGTTCATCCTTATCTCAGTTGAATAATCGTTGTCGTAAGCCTCGATGACAAACTGTTTAGTTTTTGGCTGTTGCAAGGTGACAGTTATCCTCTGTCTCACGTCAAAGGCATTTTCCGCTTTGAAACTGGTATCAAAGTCAACGAATTCCGTGATTTGCGTGCGAATCCAAGATGTCTTCTTGAGAGCCAGGTACTCTCTTTCCGAGTGCGGTGGTCTCGTATGATCGCAACAGGTGTACTGGGTTCAAACTCTGGGCGCAACCGAGGGAACGTCGCGCAAACTCCCATTCCAAGCCCACCACCACTTGGACAGCAATCACAACAACAGCAATCTAATTCTCGTTTTCCTTCAATCGCTCAAAGCCTCGGTCTCCCTTTCGACCCATACGACTATTCACCTTTGCCCGCTCGTATGCTGGTGACTGGTGCCGCTGCAAACTTCCCCTCCGTTGCGAATCTCGTTGGTGACGTATTCAATGCCCCTGTATTCATGCCCAATACCCAGGTGGACTCGGCACAAGTTGTTCCTCACCGTAATGCTCCTGCGCCAGGCTTCCCTGGACGCGCATCTCTTGGAGGAGCATATGTAGCCAGGTGGGTTTGGGGAAAAGAGCGTGGGAGCGCAACTGGAACGGGTCGTGGACTTGGTGGATTTGAAGAAGAGATTCGTAGGTTACTGGGTAAACGGTGGGTCGCCAGCGGAGGCATGCAGTTACGGACGAACATCAACGGCATAGCTGGTGGCAACGCCAGTAGTGGTGCGAATAGTGGCACCAGCACACCATATGGACATAGTGGACCGCGTTCTGCGCTAGGCTCGACAGTGTTTGTTGAGGAGGAGGAAGATGAGATGGAAGAGATGGAAAGACTTGGTGCAGGCTTGGGCGCTGGGCTGAATGCTTCGGTGTTCGCGGGTGGATTTGCAGACAGAGATCTCGGGAGAATGAGGACGGCGACGGGATCGACGATGGATACGAATATTAGTGTTGGGTCCGGCGGTGCCCCTTCCACGGCATTTACGACCCCAGATATGAACGCACTTCCGGGAGCATCGACCCCCGTACAGTCTGGGACTACAACACTGACACCAGTTACTGCTATGCCTACTGGAGATGCAGAGGCACAGATAGGACTTGCGAAGGTGGCGGAACCAGATGTGGATGCTTTTATGACTTATGCTGCTATTGTACCGGAATATTGCAGACTGGAGGGGATGTTGTTTAAATCACTTGTGTAAGTATCTTCGCAAATAGGAGAAGTGGTCAGGTGAAGGAGGGGATAAAATTACACCATTTGCTACTCGCTGTATATATAGGAATCTTGCAATAGTTACGAACGCTGGCTTGTTTCGTCTCAACGCAAATATCAGTTCAAGTTGTAACTTGAGCTTATCAGTCATACGCGAGGCTTGCTGATGGCTAAGGCTTGTTTGTGTTCCAAGAAGCCACGAATCTTCGCTGAGAAATATGCTTCATTCGCCTCTGGTAGATTGAACGGATTACACTGAGCGCGGGGGCCATCTGACATGGTAGCAAAGCTCTGAAGTGGTTATATGTCATAGCCATGTTCGGATGGAGACGCGACAGTTTAGGTTGAAATCGAAGTTGTGTCGCGTCGCGCCGCAATTTCTATCATTTTGTATGTACTTTGTATATCTGCAGATCTGACTGGGTTTGACGTGTTGACAGTCCACACTGACTGTTTTCCAGTGGCAAAATATGTCCATGACAATTGCTCGTGTCTGTTGAACGCACGACACGCAATCATTATGATAATGCACAGTAAGTACATTTTTAAAATTATCAGGCCTACGTTCGGTACCGGTGGTTTAGCTCATACGCTTTAAAGGATCGATGAAAGAAAATGTCAAGTAATTATTCTCCCATCGCACTCCCCGAATGGTATGAAAATGTTGACATACAGTTGATATTAATTAATATTGACCTTGATAGTCCGCAAGAGGAGGCGCGGGCGTCACCATCATTCGCAACTATTGCGCGTAGTCGCATTCAGATATGTTATAGCGGAAACTACCCCGTCGTCACGGATTTCTCGTCTTGATGTCTCGATACGCTTGACAACTATCAATGGTACCCATACAACGTCAACGTGGAAATCTTGGACTCCGAAAATGAATTCCGGGAACATTTGCAAGGCCTCGAGGGGGGAATAGTAAGTCATACCCTAAAAAGGTCTTCCTCGGGGAGCTCGGATGGGTCCTGTACATGTTGACTATGTTTCACCCATTCATTTCAGTCCAGACTGAGCTTTTCGGAGTCGACGCGTGGATTTCTTGCATCGAGTTTTGGGCGAGGGGTTTCATTTTGGATTGGACTGACCCCTCCTGCATCTGCCGTGTATAGATTTTCCTGCAGCCCCAATACAATTTTCTTAGCCGCCAATACACCAATCTTATCTATGCTCATTCAATCACACAGGTCTTGAGAATTCGCCCTATACAATAGCGGATGTCTCGGCAATTTAGCTAATGCAATGGCAGATAGATCTTACAGACACTTGCACGACATTCGCAGTATCCGAACAGTATAAAATCCTTGCTTGTAAGTGAGTTTTTCTGTTCATAAGTCCTTTGTTAACCATGCTCTCATCTACTATCATTTCATTCGCTCTATGCATCTTCAAATCGCTTCTGGAAAGCGATGCCTTGGTTGTCCCAAGCGTCTCTGGGGATGAGTCTTCCTTCAAGGGCTTCGCCTTCACTGCCCATGTAAAACCAAAGTTTAATGACCAGAGCGCAAACAACAACTCTTCTGTAACTCTTACCAATGAAGGCGATATGGAGGTATTGTTATGACTCTTGCTTTTTATAATATCGATAACTTACATGTTATACAGTACCTGGGACAAGTGAATGTTGGAGGACAAGACTTTACGCTCGTCCTCGATACTGGGTCGAGCGACTTGTGGGTTCACAGTACCACCAAAATAAACATCACATCCACTACCGACAGGTACATCAATCTGACCTATGGGATTGGTTCTGCAGCGGGAAATGTATCGTACGCACCCGTTACATTTGGGGGATACTCAATTGACAGTCAAGGTAAGCTTTACATACAGCCCCAGTGTAATCACCGTATGCTTACTGGCTACGATAGCCTTGTTGAATGTCAATAAGACTGACCAGCAGGACGTCCAGGGTATCTTTGGACTTGGTTTCAATAGCCTGTCAGCTATCTTCACAGAAGTCAACGACCTACAAGCTCGCACTCCTGTCGACAGTATCTTTGCTCAGCACCCCTCCACCTCTAAATTTATCGGCCTCTCCCTCGAGCGAACAGCAAACCAGGAGGATACAGCCGGTGGTGTGCTGTCCGTTGGCGAGTATGATCCGCAGTACTCGAACATATCTACGAGCGAGAAGCACCCTATCTTGCCTGCCAACTCGACCCGCTGGACGATCGCGTTGGACGGGATGAACGTTAATGGGAACAATCTGCAGATGAAATCGAATGTTTCCAGTCAAGAAAACAGCTCTGCAATTGCTCTCATCGACAGTGGAACTAGCTTGGCATATATTCCCACTGATGCTGTGAATGCTATCTACAATAGCATTAATGGGTCTGTACATGTCCAAACAGCTTCTGGACAAGACTCATGGTTCGTCCCTTGTTTCGGTCAGGCAAACTTGACCTTTGTCTTTGGGTGAGTTCTACCATCAATCCAGCATCAAGATGCAAACTGATTTCCTTCCTCAGTGAAGAAACGTTTGCTATAAACCCTCTCGAGTTGACTTATCCACTCACTATCAGCGAGGGAGGCAAACCATATACTGTCTGTATGAGTACTTTCAGGCCGCCTCTGTTCACCGACGGGACGGTCGAGGTAGATTTTCTACTGGGAGATATTTTCATGCGCAACGTATACTCTGTGTACGTCCTTGTTCTTATCCTTTTTAAATCGCTCCATACTTATAAACTCTTGTTATAGCTTCAACTTTGGTAATTCCTCATCTGGAGACGACGGCAAAGGCGCATCCATCCAATTTTTCTCGCGTACAAACAGAGAACAAGTTGCTAGCGATTTCACCAAGCAGCGCAAGGAGAATCTGCAGTCAATGCCGCCTTTATTCGACATTAGCAAACTCCATTCGAATGGAAGCCTCGGTGATAGTAGTCAGATCATGTCGCAACTATCTGGTGACGAAGAAAGCAACGTCTGAGAGCAGTGGTGTGCACGTCTTTCTGTCAATTACTGAAGCGTTACGCTGGATATGATCCAAACTATTATGGATTGGTGAAGTAAATTGCGTTGATCGTTATATGTCCTGTCATTTATGACAATATAATACCCTTTCTTTTCGTTATATTTCCTTGGGGATTTAATCTATAATACGCACGAAAGATCATTGCATAACAACTTGCTTTATTATCATCTTTGAGAACATACCCGCATTACATTTCAGAATAGCCATTCCCCCCTTATTGTGCTGTCGCGTAGGTGTGTGTAGTACGTGCAATAACTAGGTATGATTCTGTCCATTTAGTAAACTAGCATGGTGTCTCACCAAAAGTACAGGTTTCCGCTCATAAATATGACTCACGTCATCAGAAGCGCAAAATCTGGCAATCGCTGAACGACAAATGAGTTGGAGGCATATAACAGGCGTGAAAGAGCCAGGCTATTCATCCATAACGTGGGCTGTTTAGGTGAAGATTAAGGACCCTAATGAGATCCTTCAATGATTTGATGATTAACTTGTCGGTGAAGACGGCGCCGATGACCGCCATACAAGGGCCTGTAGCTGTGGGGATCAAAGTAGGGCAGCAAGTCGCATTCCTGTAACTAGTGCACTAGAGAAAACAATTAACTTGGCCATAATGGATAATACATTGATTTGCGCTCAAAAGTGGCGGACAGATAAACCACCTTGAAAGGAGGGGTCGAGCCCTGTTCCTATCTCATCCTTGATCATCAGCGAAAGATCCACATTCTCTCCTGCTACTACATTCGCAGGCTGATGTATAATGATACCATCAAGCTCGTCATCGATATTGACGAAACGCTCGAAGGAGTGGGTGATGAATGAGCTTTCCTCCCTTCCGGGCATCTGAATATATAGCCAAGGATGCTTCAACGACCTTCAACGTTGAACGTAAAGCTTTTTGAAGCACTGGGAGATCCACATTGGCAGACTCCGTTCTGAACTGGGCGAAGATAGGATGATACAGAGCAATGGGTAGACCTTCAGTATTGGTTCTCAGCGTCGTAACGGCCGTCAAATATATAGATCTTGGTTTCGTTTGGTGACGTGTATATTCTGTAGACTTGGCGTACTGGGAAGGCGTTGGTCCATTAAGAACTTCGAAAAGCGTCTCATGGAAATTAAGCTTAAAGCAAAACAACAGCCTACAGTCATACCAGCACCAACACGTACTACGAGGCATCAGGTCATGGATTTTATCTAATCTCTTCAGACTCTGGCGGCTCAAGTAGCATGACGAAATCGACATAAGGGTCACCAGCTTCGTTTCTGCTGGGAACGGAAAGCTTGGCTTCCATGAGTCACACAGTTCTCGATAGGAACGGCTAGTGATTCGTTAAGCACGCACTTTTCAGAATTGGATGTTAGCCTAGTCCCATCTCGCCTGTACTTTGACTGGGTTTTGACCTTCTTGAATATCAGTTTTGTTGCATTGCCCACATAAAATGTCTGACCTTGTCGATATCTCGAGGAAAACGATAGGCTGATATACTGATTGGACGTGGCGGGATCATATATGCCATAGCAAAATATCTCTATGTGGACCTCCCAAGCCATACTGCGACTCGCAGTTGCGAGAGAGGAGAGCGAAAGCGGATAACCTACACATGCTATACAGTCAAGAAACAAAGAAACCGTGGCACAGCCACTTTTAGTCCATCACTTGTCCGAGTCGTTGAATCACCAACAGACTCATCCAGCTTGAAGTGCATGTTTCGACTTCTGCATGCTCCATAGCTTATATGACGACTGTATATTAAGTTTATGGTATAAATCCCGGTTTTGAGCTCTATAACCCCAATGTCAGTCTATAAACGCCCCTCTTCTCTCGCCCTTGTCACCCATTTCATCACCTCACCCCAATCTCTCACTCTATATACCCCCGCCCTATCACTCCTCTCTCCATCCCCACTCAACACCTCCTCTGCCCATATGGCATCCTCTTCCAAGAAACGTTCCCCGCCAGTCTTTTCTACGCGCACATCGAAAACTTGCTCGTCTGGCGTGCTGAAGGAACAATCTGACGAGAGTGAAAGCCGTTTGTTCCAGGGGTAGGTGCCGAACAGGAGGACAGGTATTGGGGGAGATTGCGACTTTGGTGGCTCCGTCGGTGTGGGTGAAATGGTCGATGAACTCGGTCGAGAAGAGAAGAAA